TATTACTGCTCATAAAAGAAAAGCTTTTTAATTATGACATTAAACGGACGCCATTTTTGTTTTCTAATATCTCTTGCGTCACGGGGCTCTGAACGGCGAGCATGGGTGTAGCTCGCCGCCCGACCAGTGCTTACTCTTGAAACCAATCTCAATGTCAATCCAATAAAATCTCAATAATTATTCTATGTCAACACTATACAACCCCAACCTTAGCTGTTGAAATAGCATTCAGAGTACGGAATATAAAACCAAACTCAATACCATTTAGTTCATTCAATATCCACGCAATACGGATGCAATGGGCGCTAGTGTTGCAAGTCGAGAGTACGAAATTTCGCAAAACCAATCTATCGATCGATATTGGATTCAAAAGTAAGCCCCCAGAACCAGACCCGAGCGTACGGCGCACGCGCCTCAAAGAGCCATTAGACCACCACGGATGGGGCCCAATAGGGCTGATGCCGATACGGAGCCGCGGAGAATTATAACGATGATTTTCCCCCCTTAATAAAGTGACTGTCTCATTGGCCGAGTCATCGCAAGTGCGACTGCCGGGCAAGGGGTCTCGGGTTCGATTCCTGAGTCGGGCAAAGTATTACTGGGTTTGTAAAAACCTCAATAGTAGCACGGAGTCTGGAAATGTACCCGGTATATGGCAATAGGCTCACCCCCTATTACCCATGTAATACTCATAAAATAAATAGTGAAAAGTGGGTGTTACATTGTACAGTGGCATTAAGTGCCGTAATGTGTACCTCTGCCTACCACTTCGAGGATAAAAGACGTGATGTTATGTTCAAGACAAATGTTAGCCAAATCGGTTCAGGCTTTCTTGAGTTTTAGCGAGACAAACTAATGTAAATTCAATTTTATTTATATATATATATTATATATATATATATATAGATAGATATTCAAGTTTAATATTAATACTCATTAATTAAAAATATAACATAACATAACATAACATCACGCCTTTTATCTCCGAAGGGGTAGGCAGAGGTGCACATTATGCCACTGTACAATGTAACACCCACTTTTCACTATTTATGTTATGAGTCCCATGTAATAGAGGGTGAGCCTATTGCCATATACCGGACACATTTCCAGACTCCGTGCTACTACTGAGGTTTTTACAAACCTAGTAATACTTTGCCCGACCCGGGAATCGAACCCGAGACCCCTTGCCCGGCAGTCGCACTTGCGACCATTCGGCCAACGACGCAGTCAATCAGTAATATTAATACTCATTAATTAAAAATATAGTAATTTAATAAAATAAGCTATTTAATATATAGCTAATTGCTACGGAACCCTATCGCAAAATCTTTATCTGCGCATTAAAAAAGTAATGATGTAATTCGCAAACGTTATTACCGAACATAAAGCTCTGGGTTTGATTCTTATTAAACCAAACATAACATTACAAACGACTTTTATTTCTCAAAGCTATAGACTGAGATGCACATCTATCTATCTATATATATAAATAAAAATGAATTTCCGTTCGTTAGAACAGCTGAATCGATTTGGCTTATATTTGTGTTGAAATGTTTGCGAAACTCCAGTGAAGATTTAACATAACATAACATCACGCCTTTTTATCTCTGAAGACTAGGCAGAGGTACACATTACGGCACTTAATGCCACTGTACAATGTAACACCCACTTTTCACTATTTATATTATGAGTCCAATGTAATAGGGGGTCTGGCTGTGAACGTTGCCAAGACCCAGGCGCTCGCCGTGGGGCTTATGAAGCCGACACCCATGACACTCATGGGAGAGCAGGTCCGGTGGGCGCCGAGCGTTAAATACCTCGGCGTGACCATCGACCGCTCGCTCTCAATGACGCCCCACGTGCAGCAGGCCACCGCTCAGGCGCGCGCCGCGCGTCACCTCCTGCGCCCAGTGATCGACTCGGCGCTACCTCTCCGTGCGAAGCTCGGCATCTACAAGGCCTACATTCGGACACGGCTCACCTACGCCGCCCCGGCATGGTATGCGCTCGTGTCCGAAACCAACAAGAAACGCCTCCGTGCGCAGCAGTCACTGTCGCTGCGCACCATCGTACAGGCCCCGCGCTTCGTACGGAACGCGACAATCGCCCGAGACCTCGGCGTAGAGAGCGTCGACGCATTCGTGCAGCGCCTGAGCACCACACTATTTGAGCGCTCCGATCGGTCGCGGCACGACCATCTCCGAGGGCTGGCGCCCTACCACCGGCGCCCCCCCGACGGCCTCGGCCTCCCACGAGACCTGGTCGCACCGACCGGCCCATCGGACGCCGCGTGAGACTCCCGCCCGCCCCACAGGCGGATCGGTAGAGTCTCCGCCACCACCGGACACGACCGCGCGCCGCTACTAGCCCGCCGCTCGCCGGGCCCCCCCCCCCCGCTCGAGCGCGGCTCCTAGCGGCGCCCCCACTGGACACGACCTATGCCCCGCCAACAGCTTGCTGCTCGCTGGGCTTGCCCGGCTAGAGCGCGGCTCATGGCGGGGCATACCACCGGACACCGGACTAATCCAACCCCTCGCCTGCTGTAGCAGGCAGCGAGCGAATCCGCCGAGACAGGCATCGGCCTGGATCGCGCGACCTCGCGCCCCCCCCCCCCCGGGGACGCAGAGATGACCCGAAGACGAATAGGGGGTGAACCAGTAGTTCTCGAGATAAGCGCGTTCAAACAAAGACACAAACTCGCCTAAGATATACAAAACTCGCTCGCGTCACAAAAGGATAAAACGTAGCCTATGTGACATATACTACTACACACAGCGCCATCTATACCAATACTTTTGTTTTCCCTCGGGAATATCAAATTTTTCCGGGATAAAAAGTACCCTATTATTTAATCCAGACTTCTAACTTTACGTCTGCAAAATTTCAAAGCAATCGGTTCAGTAGTTACGTCGTGAAAGCGGAACAAACAAACAAACAAACAAACAAACTCACTTTCCGATTTATAATATAAGTAAGGAAGTATGGATTCTGACTCTATAACTTTGAACTCATTACAACGTCACTAGACTTGATGACGTATATCACAATCACAAGATAACATAATACAGAAGTACGGACAGCAGTGCGGAGTCCAACATTGTGCCCGGTATATGGCAATAGACTCACTCCCTACTAATACTGAAGGTTATTCTTTTTCAATCTCTTTGACTGGATTTAGGTGTTGCATTGTTCTCACACAATCGAACCAACAAAACTATGTAACTAAAGAATTGTATTGCAAACCCGATTGAAAAAGAGTAACCTATGAAGTTTCTTGTTCGTTCTTCTACATAGGAATCTACACCTTGGAATAAGCAACTAGCTTCACTTCTTCGCCCGCGTTCCCAGGTGTAAATAGTAGCCTATGTTAGTGACAGACTGTACACAGCTGTAACTACTGCGCGTAGCAAGCTGAGTTACATGTAGCGCGCTAGGGGAGTGTAGGGGAGTGTTGAGAGAATGACAGACTGTACACAGCTGTAACTACTGCGCGTAGCAAGCTGTGTGACATGTAGCGCGCTAGGGGAGTGTAGGGGAGTGCTGAGAGAGTGACACACTGTACACAGCTGTAACTACAGCGCGTAGCAAGCTGTGTGACATGTAGCGCGCTAGGGGAGTGTAGGGGAGTGCTGAGAGAGTGACACACTGTACACAGCTGTAACTACAGCGCGTAGCAAGCTGTGTGACATGTAGCGCTCTAGGGGAGTGTAGGGGAGTGCTGAGAGAGTGACAGACTGTACACAGCTGTAACTACTGCGTGTAGCAAGCTGTGTGACATGTAGCGCGCTAGGGGAGTGTAGGGGAGTGCTGAAAGAGTGACACACTGTACACAACTGTAACTACAGCGCGTAGCAAGCTGTGTGACATGTAGCGCGCTGTAGAAGAGTGCTACAAGAGTCCTATAAGTACCTACCTATCCAAAAAAATATATATATTATTGTCATACACAAATATTATGATTTTAACATGGTTTTAGATTAATTTAAGAAATTTAAAAGCATTTTAACAAACTAATTTTGCTACTAATTTCGTCATTTTTATACAGTCAGATATAAACTTAAAAATATAACGGTAGAGATAAACTTAGAAACAGCATGTCTTTGATTCCGAAAGAGGTCAGAGGTGACCATAATACATACTATATTTTTACCATTTATGTTATGAGTCCCAAGTAATAGGGGATGTATGTATCTACTTCTATTACTTAATATTATAAACGAGCGACACGCCCCGGCTTCGCACGGGTGCAATATGCATGTATTAAACATTATTATAAACCTTTATAAGAATCACTCTATCTATTAAAAAAACCGCATCAAAATCCGTTGCGTAGTTTTAAAGATCTAAGCATACATAGGGACAGACAGACGGCGGATAGCGACTTTGTTTTTTACTATGTAGTGATATGAAAGTCAGCGAGCTTGTCTGTATGTTTGTTACTTAAAAAAATCGTTGCCACACACTAGGATTTTCTCCTGTGTCGTGGGTGCGTTTACAAACATACAAGTTCACATACACATTACACCCAGACCCGAAACAACAATTTGTGGATCACACAAAGAGTTGTTCCGTGCGGGAATCGAACCCGATTTACGTTGCGCGGCAGCCGGTTGCCCAGCCACCGCACCAACCGTGCAAAACGACTGAAGGGAGGGGCAGATTATGTTTCGAAATAACACATAGGCTACTTTTTATCTCAGAAGCTAATAAACACATAAGAAATATATTTAAAAACTAGCGAACCCAACAGACGTTGTCCTGCATATCCACTTGAATGTATAAACAAAAATTCATTCAAATTAGTTCAGCTGTTTAGGATAAATAACCTAAACAACGACTGCAGCGCCATCTGACGGGCTGATTTGTGAATCTAAACCATTCCCAGATCCCCTTGAACACACACAAAAAATTTCATCAAAATCGGCCCATTCGTTTGAGAGAAGTTCAGTGACATACACACTCACAGAAGAATTATGTATATAAAGATTCGCAATACTTACAGCAATAATACTTCTTTTCCGATTGTTTTCCCCAACATAACACCGACCACTGATTTTTAACTCCCCCACACGTAAATTGACTTTTCCCACACCCTGCACATCCGTGTAAATTGGCCAAAATAGTGTCCTCCCGAATTAAAATCTTCCCCACCCCGTTACTAGGGGTTATAATCACCATTTTATCATCCCCACCCTCTTTCGGCAACATTGGTGATGTAGACATCGTTTTATCTAGAGTTTGGTGTTCCATTTTTATCGCGGTTGTTGTTAGAACATTATTTTCCGAAGTGTATTTTTTTGGTACTACGGACGCGACCGCGCTCGTGAAGTTCCGACGCGCAACTGATATAGATGGGTCAACCAAGAGGTTATCATCAAGCATACTTATTTTTTTCGATATGATTTAAATAGGTTATCTTGTATTTAAGTTTCTTGGAGTTTTTATTCGGGATTTTTTGTCTAAATTACGTTTAAAGAAGAGCTGTTTTGTTAGCGAATTCGTTTCGTTACCAATTTGAGTGTTTCGGTGTAGTTTACCCATTACTTGATAACGATGTTGTTTAACATTTATATACATACATACAATCTTATCGTTCCTCTACATATTATTAGTATAATAAGTACTATAGATAGTTTTATTGCGAATAAGGAAATTTCTATATTATTATAATCACCTTCATGTTATGATTGAGACACTTGAGAAGTCACCTAAATTTAATTCGACCGCGCACGCTGCTCATGAGGAAGAACCCCTCTGTAGTTCGAAACTAGTAGAGCTTGTCTCAGTATATTCACGTGAGTAAACCGCGATTTTTAGTTAATTTAGTATATCTCATAATAGTTATTATAAAAACATTATATGTACTTTCTAAGATTATTTAGACACCACTGACAAACGGTGAAGGTAAACATCGCGAGGAAACCTGGGCTTATAAATAACTTCTAACTATAAGTTTGAAATCGCCAACCTGCATTGAGCAAGCGTGGTGATTGATGCTCAAACCTTCTCCGTGTGAGAAGAGGCCTTTGGTCAGCAGTGACCACTTCTAGGCTGTTGATGTTAAAATTCTTAGATTTTTAATTATTAGTATTGTTTTGTTTTTTTTAACTTAAAAGAGTCGGAAACGAGGTTATCATATAGACACGATTGCTTGTAATATTTTTTGTTTATTTATTAACCACTTAATTCATTGAAATCGTTACGGTCCGAAGTTCAGCTCTCGAGTTGGTAAAACTGATATTTATTATGACTCTTACTTTGACCAAGGAACTGAATCTGCGACCCCTTTTAAAGCAATCATAATTGCGGTCACTCAACCGTCAGATAGTTATTAGTCATTGCAAGGGTTAACGGCCTTATATTGAAGAGGGGGCTGGCAGAGATATATGCATGAGAACTTTACGTTAATACATACATCGGAATTGGCAAGAACCTGGTATAATTTGGCGGCAGCAAACGTGCAGACGGATCACCTGATGGTAAGCAATTGCCCCTTTAGGAAACAGAAAGTAAAGTTCCCTAAGATCGGAAGAGGAAGATCCTCCGACCAGGCGAGGTGTTTGTGCCTGGCGGGCTACTGCCCAACAGTTGTTCGTTGGGATTTTCTATCCGTGTTTAATAGCGTATAAACTTCATTTCTGCGATGTACGATTTTTGTGACGTCATCTGAATTCCTTTTTTTCTTTTGTTTTATATTTTAGTAAGTTCTGTTATTTGTACTATGCATCAAACGTATCTTTACATACGCATCATCATAATATCATGCCTTTTATCCCCGAAGGGGTAGGCATATTACGGCACTTAATACCACTGTACAATGTTACACCCACTCTTCACTATTTATGTTATGAGTCCCATGTAATAGGGGTAAGCCTATTACCAAAAATCCAGACACCGTGCTACTAATTAGGTTTTTTTTTTAAAAACCCGAGATCCCTTGTCCGGCAGTCGCACTTGCAACCACTCGGACAATGAGGCAGTCTTCATTGTACTGTCTGGTGTCTTTATATTGTTCTCACATATGCGTACAATATTAAAATATGTATCAGACACAATAGAAAACATATTTTTTAGTGAAACAAGTGAGTGACGTTCTTGCTAGTTCTTCTCCACTCGAATCTACATTTTGGAACGAGCGCCTAGCTTTAATTACGGACAGACTGACGGACTATTATTTATTTCATATTTGTTGACGTTTCAAAAGTACCAAATTATGGTTTAATTGAAATGAATGCTTTGACTTTGATTATATGTCTTTGAAACATCAGTGTGTTTCGCTGTCGTCACCGCAAATAGACACCCGCAACACTAAAGGTGTTAGTAGTACGTTAGCAATATTTTGCATACCTATCAAGCTTAGACTAGATTCACATTGTAGACCTGGTTACATTGTTAGATCATCATTTCAATGACAGGAAATAACAAATTGTAGGTGCAATCTGCGCGCTGCATCTTATTGCCTAATTAGAGCAATGACCCTAGTTCACACTTCTAGTTTACAAGCAGTAGCTTGTAGTCAGTAGACTAAGAACTCAACCTATTCAGCACTGACGATTTTATTCCAAGTATTGGTAAGAATGTAAGTGTGGGAGAGCCATGCTTCGGCACGAATGGGCCGGCTCGACCGGAGTGATACCACGGCCTCACAGAAAACCGACGTGAAGCAATGCTTGCGTTGTGTTTCGTCGTGTGAGTGAGGTTACCGGAGGCCCAATTACCCTTCCCTTCCCCAATCTCCCCAATCCTTGAATCCCCAACGATCCTCAAACTCCTAATCCCCAAAAGGCCGGTAACGCGCTTTTAACGCCTCTGGTGTTCCAGGTGTCCATGGGCGACGACGATTGCTTACCATCAGGTGATCTGTCTGCTTGTTTACCGGCTTATGCCATAAAAAAATATAATGCCGGCACGTAGTTTTGGGCAAGAGAGATTGTTTTTATAGTAACTATCGTGAGACATACTAAATTAACTAAAATCGCGGGTTACTCACGTGAATATACTGAGAAAAACTCTGAGCTACGCGACATCGCTGCTGCTCATGAGGAAGTACTCCTCTGTGGTTCGAAACTAGTAGAGCTTTTCTCAGTATATTCACGTGAATAACCCGCGATTTTAGTTAATTAAGAGATATTGTATTGCGCTCCAAGACTAGCTGACGTTGCTTGGTTGGAAAGCCGTAAGTTTAAAATATTTCTACTTTGTCTTGTCAAAATTAAATCTGCCACAGTCTGGTATCCAGTCAAAGCAGCTGTTCATGTCCCCGAGATGCGCTAGACTTCAGTGTTTCGTTGTTTGATTGTTAACTGTAGATACTTGTGGGTAGGAGTCGCAGCGGTTTTGGTGATCATCAGGAGGACTGACCGACAGACTGGACACGTTTTATATTCTGTTTGACGTCCAAAAGTGCCATTTACAACCTTAAAATATAAATATAATTTTTATGCATAGAATAAAATTTACGTTTTCTGTTTTTTCTGTTCCGTGTGTTAAACGATTGATTCGTTTTATACACGTTTAGGAGTGGGGGCTAAAACGTCATTTCTACGTACAAAATGTACATAGAAGTGACGTCACTCGACATTTCAAATCAATATATCGTCGAAAGTATTCGTTTCTGTAAGAAAATAAAAAATACGTGTATAATGATTTAACTCGTCGAGTACCGTATTTATAGACACAATTAAAGAACAATAGGTTGCGGTCACCGGTGACCGCTTGGTGTTTGACAGTTTAAAATAATCTACCGGACGGACATTAAAATACAAATAGGCATCTACCCTATTGGAATAGGTAAGTGGTTTTAACTTTGACTTTGAAAAATGTACCTATCTATGGCGTCACCACAAGATGGAGGCGAGCATGTCCCAATAAAAAAGATACAATTTGTGTCACAGTTTTTGTTTATATTATTTAGCTATGATTATGATGATAGTATTGTGTAGGGCACCAAGGGCCACTTCCGAAGTTATTATCTTATCAGGCTCCGGTCGGTCATTCATAGAATTACATTCACGACAGCCAATGCAAAGGGTAAGGGCACTCTAGTATTATTTTAACCGATTTTAACAAAAATTAGTAAACCGATTAAAAAAATGTAGTTTAACAGATTGAGCTGTATATATGGATGTACCTATGTATGTATATGCGCGATTATGTCGGGCTGGGCAACTGGCTGACGTGCAGCGTTTCGATTCCCGCACGGAACAACACTTTATGTGATCCACAGATTGTGGTTTCGGGTCTGAGTGTCATGTGTATGTGAACTTGTATGTTTGTAAACGCACACACAATACAGGAGAAAATCCTAGTGTGGGGCAACGTTTTAAAAAACGTATTTCTTATATAATAAGATAAGGCAAAAAAGCACATTAAAGCTTGCCACAGGTAATAATAATTTTGTAATTATCAAAACAAAAGAATTGCGTATTAATTAATTGTTGATTGTCTATATTTAAAGTTTAATTGTTTTATTTACACGCATGAGTTTTCTTAGATTTATTGCATAACAATTTAATAATACTTATTAAACTGTCAAACACCGCGAGGACACCGGTGACCGCAACCTATTGTTCTTTAATTGTGTCTATAATGACGGTACTCAAAGGGTTAATGATAGGTACGGTAGCTTGCCCTAGTTATTAGTTATTTTATTTGTTAAAGAAAGGGGATAAAATGTCAATGACTTGACTAGTGTTGCAAAAAAACCGTTTTTTTTTTCTAATGTGAAAAAAACCTTGAAAAAAAACCAGATAAAAACCTGTTTTTTTTTCTGGGCCTTGTTTTTTTTCAAGAGTATAATAACTCTAATATTGTTAACTCTAAAATTGTTAGCTTGCAAATTACATTGCAGAACATAAAGAAGCACCAGGCATAGAAAATATGACCGTAATTCAATCTGTAGAGGAGATGGATGAAGATGAAGAGACAGACGAAAATGCTGACTCTGACAAGACCAATGTAAGCACTGAAACTGATACAGAAAGTGAAGATGAAGAATAAATTGAAAAAAGATTATTGAATTGTAATTCAATGTTGAAAGTAATGAATTATGAATAAATAATATTTTGATTTATTAAACAAATTGAATTTATAATTGAACTAAAACGTAGGCTAAAAAAAAAAACAAATTTAGAAAAAAAACAACGATGCAAAGTTTTTTTTCATGTTTTTTTTCAATAAAGTAAAAAAAAACAAACCGTGTTTTTTTTTACTTTTACATCACTAGACTTGACCCAAAGTCTTTTACATGGTAAAAGCCGGTAAACGAGCAGACGGATCACTTGATGGTAAGCAATCTGCGTCGCCCATGGACACCTGGAACACCAGAGGCGTTACAAGTGCGTTACCGGCCTTTTGGGGATTAGGAATTTGAGGAATAAGGCGGCACGAAGTTTGCCGGATGCTGACCTGGCTAACTTGGTACCTACTACGGTAAAATGGGGTGAATAGGGTTTGAACGGTGGAAAGGGACAGAAGAGGGGTGAATCGATACTATGAAGAATTTCCTTATATCTATTCACCCCTCTTCTGTCCTTATTC